TTAGCAAGTCATTATGCGTTTGGAATTGTGTAGATCGGATTGCAACTCCATTAAAACTTGTAATCCATAAAACGTTTACGTCTATTCAAAGCAGAGTTGGGATCTTTTGAAATTTCTTAAAAGTGGGATAGATATCTAGAGACCCTACGAATCGATGAGAAGTTTTCTATAATACTATCAGGGCACATGCAATGGATGACAAATTAAAAAAAAAAAAGAAAATTGTTTTGTTCTCCTATCTTCTAAACACCTTTTATGTCTTACAATGCAGATATCAGTTTACAGCAGCGACTTCTTCAAACGATCTGCTTCTAACTTTTTATTAAGCTTACCCTAAACAAAAGAAAATTCGTTTTGTTAAAAATGAAATGATTTAAGAAAACCAATTGACAGACTGAATGAACTCTTAGTAGTAGATCGCTAAAGTAATGCCGAAGTCAGATCATAATTGCGTTCAATATAAGAGTGAATAAAAAAAACTGCTCACTCGAAGAAGATGTAAAGGAAATGGTGCTAAACAACTTCCAAATCAATCCTTGAACAGTTACATAGTATTATGAAGAAGAAAGCAAAAAAAAACTTAATAAAAATTTCAATTGCAAGCGACAACTGCTTGTCAAATACGAGATATAAAAAAACGGGCATTCATTACTTGAATTATCGGTGACACTATTATTTTATACCTCTATACGTTCAAAACTTGTCATTGCGGTTATTTATATTAATTGTAAATAAGAGAAATATATTTTCTTATCTCACTAAAGGCTAACATGTACATACATACATACTTCTTTCTGTCTCTATATATAGGAATTTTTTGAAAAATGCTTCTAAGAAAAAACAAAAAAAAAAAGGAAAAAAACTGGAATATTTTTTTCGACCGGAAATAGTTGCAAAGATTGGAAAGATTTTTTTTTGTTAAAAGTTTTTCTAGACTAAAATCAAAATGTTCCCAAAAGAAAAGGAAAAAAAAATAAATAAATAAAAAAATAATAAACACATTGTTCCTAAACGATTTAAGTTCCTAACGCTCAATTCGTTTCAATTGTTATCTGTATGGTCTGTCGTTTAAGTAAATATGCGTCTGAATGATTGTTTAATTGATAATTATGTTTATTTTATGATAGTATCGCTTGCCTATCAATGCATTCACAACTTATTGAAGGAATTTCTCTTCAGAAAGCCATTCATTCTCAGCCCCCTTTCAATACAATTTGAATTGTTAAAGGTCAGTGGCTTGTATTAAATTACATAAAATTCTCCCCTCCTCTCTCTCGCTCTCTCTCTCTTTGCCTTTGTCCTTTTGTCTCTCTCTTTTTCTTTTTCATGTTTCTATTTACCTTCATTTATATATATAAATACACACATGGCTTGATTAATTTTTTAGGGAATTAAAGTTTTTTTTTTTTCATATATTTATTAATCTTTTTTGTTTTTTTGTTTTTTTTTTTTTATTAAATTTTAACTAAATTTAAGTTTAGATTTTATTTGTAATTTACAAGACAATTATTAACAAGTTTTTGAGTTTTTGTTGTTTACGTTTAATATGAAAAGAGTTTTTTTTGTTTTTTTTTTTGTTTTTTTATTTGTTGTATATTTTATGTATTTTTTGTTTTTTCCTTACAACTGTTTTATTTAGCTTAGCTTTTAGTATTTGTGCTTGGGTTTTTTTTTTTGCTTCTTTTATATATAATATATTTTTCTTTTATTAATTTCGTTTTTTCTTCGCTGGCATTTTATGTGAATTTTGCATTAAAAAAACTAACTTTGTTTGCTTTATAATTTATTTATATTTAATTTATTAATTATTAGATAATAATTGCATGTAATGGTTGATTTTGTCTTCATTTTTTTTTTGCTTTTTTTTTTGTTTTTTGTTTATTTTATATACTAATTATGCTTATTTTTCATACATAAATTTTAAAACATTACAATTCTTCTGCTTATTATTTAATACAATAATAATAATAATAAAAAAAACTTTACAAGTATTTATTAATTTTTTTTTTTTTATTTTTATTTTTATTTTTTTTTTTTTTTGCAATGAATAGGTTTTTTATACAAGTTTGTATTTTTATTCAATCAACTGTGAAATTAAAAGGCTTGAAAACGCATTAAATAAAACGATAGAAATTCTAAAGAAATAAAATCTGCAAAACTTTTTTCTAAAACTTTGAAAATCAAAAATTTGAAATAAGCACCATTACGCCTTCTGACAACATTTCGGGCTCATATTCTCATTTCTCCATTATAGCCCTCCCTCTGCGGTCTCTTTGCATGCCACTAATTAGTTAATTAATGATTTCAAATACATATATATATATATATATATGTATTGTAGACATGGGACTTGGTGCAAAAACACAAGGACGGCATAGGAGTCTAAAGGAACTCAAGTTTTCTAAAGGTTCATCCGGTTTAAGTACGACATTACCCTTTAAAATAGTGCAATTTTTACATATATATTTACAATGAAGAATTTACAATTTAAATTTCCACACTACAGTATTATTTGTTAAGTCTACACGTTACTCGATAGGTAAACTCAATTCAATTTCGAATGTAAAATCGCTCGAAAGAGTTGATTGAACAACCTTGAGATTAGGTCTCGCCTTTCAGTTGTTCTTCTCGTCGAAAAAAGCTTTGATTTGATCGTCATAAATCTTGAATAGCTGTATGACCATACCTGAAGTGTGGGAAAATACTACCAAACCTTCATATATATACCTTCACTTTGACAGCAAACTAATTAATTTAAACTATTTAAGAGAATTACTCATCTATTAGTTAAACATTTTGTACAAAATAATATCAAAAGCTTTGATGTCAAATCCAAATAGTCTGAAGTAATCTTGACGCATGAAAACATTTAAATATGTAATTGAAAAATATTTAATATATGAGAAAAAAAAAAAAAAACAATTTAGTGACAAAAATATCTCAACATTTTTTTCCCGTGCTTCATACGATGGATGCCTAGGTAAGCGGAGAGGAAAGATTGAGCAAATCATTTATTGGAAATGTAAAGGACATTGTGTGCATGCATCAAACTTCTCTTTCTAATAATTAGATCCACTAAATTAGACGTTATTGCCCTAACAACCCTTCCTTTCCGTTTAAAATCTAGATGAAGATAAATGATAGGCTGTTGTGCGAAGAATCTCTTCTAGCCAGTTTCTAAGACTGCACTGCATTGTAACGATTTATTTTTGCAAACATCTGGGGATAATTTGAAAAGTTTTAAAAAACATGGTGTTCAGGAAAGGTAAAGTCTGCGCCTACTTTCAAATTGATATTTATGTAACGCTTTAAAGGCTGTTTATGGGTTTTCTAATGCCTGGTGTTGGATGCTAGAATTGAAAATATAGAAGTATATCCTTTAGCTGTGTTTATGACTTAACAACATAGAGGAAGGTTGAGGGCAGGCATAGCTGAACTCATGTAAATTGCTGCGTCTCTGCAGCGCAAGCATTTTATTGCACAGTTGCCGTCGCTTTGTTTGAATTGAATTATTATTAATAAGCTGACCCTCGCAATAAAAAGAATTAGAACTAAGTCCACTTGCTAGGCTCAAATCCGCATTTTCTATTAATATAATAGAATACTTTCATAGCTGCAATCTAACTTGTAAAGCGTAAGCTTGAAGAAGGTCTCTAACTCTCTTTCTGAAACCTAAAACAAGTTTATCGTACAGGGTCACATAGAACTAGCGTAGTCATAGAGATGAAGATCCGTGATTTTCCGCAATAGGAAGGAGTTATTAATGAACGTCTTGTATCTGGACGAACACAACCTAAGAGATGAGTAGGACAAGTGCATGGTAATATTACTGTCTTCTCAAGGACATCATTTAATCCAAAACTTTTGCTATTTACTCTAGGACGAGGCGTACTATACGATGTTGTTTCGTTTTCAATTCGAAGCTTAATCTGTTCAGAAAGTTTATGGGCTGATGGTATTAATGTAACCAGTGTAATCGGGGTGAAAGAAATTTTTCTAAAGCTGTCCAAGTCCGAATTGGCAAAATTTCCTCAATAAAAGCCGCTCTTGTGTTAGTAACGTAAATCGCAATTTCTGTCAGGGGAATAGTAGTGTTTCGATAACCATTGATACCATGAATCTAGCCTGAAGACAAGATATTTGAAAACATCAAAACTCAACACGCCGCTCTCTTGTTGCTCTACAATATTGGTAACGATTTTGAAGGCCTTTACCGTGAGACGAAGAAAGTTAATCTAAATTCTACAGTGTCAGTGGTTTTCCTGTAATGCGCCGCCTTTCTTGCACGGCTTCTTCATCAACAACTTATCTGAATGAAAAAATATTTCAGGATAGTACGTAGGTACCGATAAGCATACTAACAAGATATTCCATAAGGCAAACTTTTCACTTTCTTTACTTCCGTTTCTTAATCATTGACAAATTTTGTTTGCTTGAAATATTAAATACGGAAACTTTCACTCGGGAATGTTGTAAAAAATTATAAAAATACAAACTGAATAAAAAATTGTTAAAGAAAAATAGATAATAAGTTTTGTTCAAGATTTACAAGAAAATGAAAAAAAAAAAAAATTAATTAATTCGATTGCCATTGTTTAATAAAAATTCTGTAAGGAATTTTTATCTTAAAAATTAATTTACGAAAAGAGTCTGAAAAATGATTTATGTATGACCTTTAATAAATGGCACGGCAAAATTTAAATTTTTTTTTTTTTTTTTTTTTTTTTGATGAATAGAAAAATAAAAGAAAATGATAAATAAAATATTCTTAAAACTACATCACTTTTGATTGCTCTGCTTAAAAAGTCCCACTACCCTTCATATACAAGTTATATATATATATATAAGTTTAATTAAAAGAAAAGCGGACTTTTCAATCGAAAATGTATTGCTCAACAAAAATTGTGGAAACATAAAATTAAAAAAAAAAAGGTGAAAAAGTATAAAAAAAAAATTCTTAAAAAAAAATATTTACAAAAACTTTGAGATTTTTCTTCTTTGTTTTTTTTTTTTTCTTTTTTCATTAAATATAAAATTAACGAGAATATGTTTTGGAAACTTTGTGTTTTAAAAAGTCTATGCGGTTATACACTCACACTTCACTTAAAAGATTGAGAGTATCAATCATTTCCTCTTTAGCTTTCTCCTCTCTTTGCAATGATGAATGAACGTGAAGGTGCCAAACAACGCTCTAATGAGATTTAAAAGATCTTCTCTGCAAGCCACATAGCATCTTCATACATTGGCTTTTCTCGTTCAAGTGCTAAAATTTCGCTAACTTTGAACGTCAAGTCATGCACGCGTTAATTAAAACCATGATGTTACGTAGACAAAGAAAATTCATTATTATTATTGTTGTTGTTGTTGTTGTTGTTAGTTTTTTTCTCATAGCAGGGATGAGTTTTTTGTTTAATGCTAAAGAAGATTTTGTAAGGCGGCGGCTCCATTGAGTGACAACGAATGATTCCAATTTCGATAACTGCTAGCAGCTGCGGCATATTGCTGGTAATTATTGTAAAGTTGTTGTTGATGCTGCTGATAAGCTTGGTCATCATTTAAATCGTTTGTTACATTCGAGGAATCTTCATGCAAGTCGCTTGGCGACAATTGCCCACTGCCCGCACCGCCCACACAGCCGGCGGACATTAATTTTTGAGTCATATTTACATGATGCCCGTAATGTTTGTTAGAGAAGTAAGCTGCCGCTGCTGCTGCTTTCGATTTTTGTTGAAATGCAGTTGCCGCTATGGCTGCTGATGATACTTGATGTTGCTGCGTCTGTTGATGCGATTGTTGCGTAAGACTATCTTCTGTTTGATGTTGTTGCGCCGTTTGCTGATGCTGATGGTGTGTTGAGATGCTGCCAGTGCCACTATTGTTATTATTATTGTTATGATTGTTATTACTTGTAGCATTGCTATGACGCAGCATCTGTTCCGCTCTTCCTTAAGCCAATGGATACTGGTGATGTCACAAGCTGGTCGTACCAGCTGGAGCATGATAACCCAAACTTTGATAATAGGATTCTTGGCCCAGAGCAGCATGCGAATTGGTTAACGGACTCAGCGCATTATAGCCGGCGTATTGGCTCATATCGTACATTTTTATATCGGCTTTCGATTCGGTAGGCAGCAGGCGATTAATTGAGAATGGATGACTGGGCGGTGCATAACCGGAGGGTTCTTGCTTCAAATGATGCATTGACGTATGATAATCACTAATTAAAGACGGGTGGCACCGGTTCACCATGCTTGTTATACTGGACAGTTCTTCTTGTTGTAGCTGATGATGCTGGTGATGGTGGGATGGAGCATGCTGTGCCGCCTGTTGCCCTAAACAAGCCAATTCTGCATTGGCGTGCAGCATGGCTAACGCTTCGGCATCTTTACTATGACCTGATCCTAAAACACCGGCCGTCCCACCCAAACCGCTATCTTTATGATGATGATGCAGCTGATGATGATCGAGACGGCTGTGATGATGATGGTGCATATGATGGGAATCTTCGTGATCCTTCTTACCAGGCGACGTGGCCTCCATGCTGCTATGAGAAGGACTTTTGTGCAATTGACGTTGAGCTTCTTTCTTTTCGTCTTTGAAACGTTTCTGCCGCCTCAGATAGCAACCATTCTCAAACATATTACCCGATTCTGGATGTAGGGTCCAAAATGAACCTTTTCCCGGTTTATCCGGAGTACGCGGTATTTTAACAAAACAATCATTAAAGGAGAGCGAGTGCCGTATCGAATTCTGCCAACGCTGTTGGTTTTGTCGATAGAAAGGAAACAAATCCATAATAAATTGATAAATTTCAGATAATGTGAGCATGCGTGAGGGATTATTTTGTATGGCCATTGTGATCAGTGAGATGTAAGAATAGGGCGGTTTGGCATGCGTATAACTGCGCCTGTACGTGGTAGGTTTTTCGACACGCGATCTATTTAAACTGGGAGAACCAGTATCTAAATCACGAGCACTCGTTGTAGAAGCCATCGAACTGTAACCACTCATGGCAGCCATTGTTGACATACCCGCGGCGCCCATACAATTGCCCATTTGCGCTAACGGCGAACCCATGGACGCATAACCCATGCTACTGGGAGTCATGCAATTGCCAGCCATGGAATTCATTGCCGCGGCTGCACCCATACTACTACCCATGCTGGCTACTGCGGCCGCCGAATCCAATACACTTGATCCGAACGTGGCGGCTGTTTGTGGCGATACCGACGACATACCGCCGCCGACGGGCATGTTCATGGCATTCATGGTGTAAGGAGCACGAGCTAGTGGACTCATATTACCACCTGGATTGGAGGCATTAGCAATATTATTATTCGGATTGTTAGAGCTATTCCCACTACTCCCACCTCCCCCGCCACCTGCGCCATTACCACCGCCTCCGCCTGAGGCCCCCGACTGACTGGTCATACTAACCGGACCGCTAGTCGGGGTCTCTGAGTACAATTTCTGCATAATATCGATCGTCGTTTGGTGGGGCGATCCCTTAAGAAAACTATTCAAAAGTTGAGCCGTTATGATGCCGTTTTTTTTCAACCTTTGCGACGAAGTGAAAAATTTTAAATATGAAAAAATTCCTTAGTTTGTTGGTTTTTTTTACCTTCTTTTTTTTGTTTTTTTTTTTTTTTTTTGCTTTTACTATTTTAAATTTTTATAATTAACGTAATTCTTATGAATTCTTTGTTTAAATCGTTGGTTAATTGCATTATGACGTCACTTTAATACAAATAACTTGAAACTGTACACATTTGCATTCACCTAACAACTCACTGCGAACAACCGATACATGTTACACTTTGTTTGCTTTAAATGATTGCTGTATGGATGTATGTACACATATATATATGTATATATATATATTTATATATGTATTTAAAACACTTCTCATATAATTTATTTTATCAATTTATTTATTTTGGGGATTTAAATAGAAAAAATTTTCTCTGTTTTTTTTTTTTTTTTTTTTTTTATTTAATTTTTTTTTGGGAAATTTTTTTTTTTTTAATTAAAATTTCCTTTAAAAAACTTTTTTTTTTTTTTTTTTTTTTTTTTAATTTTGATATATATATATATATAAAATTCACTGTCTGAAATTTTGAGACACATACGATTACAACACGACGGGATGACGGTTTACTTTGCTAGCTTGCTATGCCTTTACTTGCTTGCCAGCTTGATTGAATGTTTTTCTGGTGCGCTCGAGTACTCTTTGGCTTGAGCTCTTGAATTCGACTGTTTGCAGAGGGGAATGCTTGCTTACTATTTGGCTTGCTAACAAATATTGTCCAGGCCCAAGTACTCAAGTGCTTGCTGGCTGACTGGCTGGCTGTACGGCTGGGTCCGCTACAAAACAATACAATACAATGTTAATGCCATACAACACGCGTCATATTATACACTGTAATGGTGATGTATGCGTGCCCGTTTGTGTATATATGCATGTGTATATGTTCACGGATATATATATCTATATATGCGTATATATATATATATATATATATATATATATATATATATGTGTGTGTGTGTGTGAATATGTGTGTATGCACGAGTAAAATGCTGCTGACACAACTTCAGATGAACAAGATATGTCGTTTACGCGTATACGTACGCTTGGTTGTGCTTATGTGTATGTAGGAGAGGCTTACATTTCGTGCTACCACCTTCTTTTTCTCACTTCGATGCTTCTACTAAAGCTAAAATGACAGTTTCGTGCTTAATATGTACCTAAGAGTGTGTGAATATGTACTTAGGAGATAATATTTAAACTAACCAATGCAACCACCAGTCTTGCTTATTACTTTTGAAACTGTAAAGAGTAAGCGAAATGAATATAGTGTTTAAATCAAAAATACTCTCTGTCCGAACGTAATGCATTAGAGCAGAGTTAACTAATAATTTTGACGCTGTCGTAGACTCTCATAAGATTGTTTCACTCTCTTAACGAAGCAAAAAATATTGTAAAGCGCTTGCGTATTGGTTTAATATCGGCTTGATGAACTAACTCTCTATGAAATGGAGGAGAATTGTCTGGCTTCACATTTTTTTTTAAGGGAGGAGTTAGGCAAATTAATAAAGTAACTCCCCTTTATGCTCACATAGATGTGTACGTTGTACATATTTCTCTTTATACTCTCGCATACAGTTGCACACATGTACACATGCATACATACATGCACACAAGCACAGGCATACATTTCATCGCACGCACGTACGTACACACATATGGAAATTGAAAATAGATAGACAAAATTGCTTTACAACTTGAAATGCTTTTATCTCTGACAAAGTATGCATGTGTTGAGTGATTATCTGTTCTACTATGGCTGTGTAACAAGATTTGTCGGGGTGTTTGCAACCATTTTTATGAAAATTGCAGTTAAATGTATTCTTTTATTTTTGTTTTTATTTTATTTTATTTTTTTATTTTTTTTTTTTAAGAGAGCCGGTAATTATTTTATATATAAGTACACGTATCTATCTACGAATACACGCGCGCATAAAATTTCTATACCCCTAAAAAAGTAAATCGATAATAGAATAAAAAGAAAAAAAAAATTAATAATAATAATAATAATAAATAAATAAATAAATAAAACTTTAATAAAGAGGCAGCTGTAGTCTTGACATATGATTTTCTCGATTTTGTTTTTTAACCTACATATATAAAAAAAAAAAAAAAAACTGTTAACTGCCGCAGAGCTGCTGGCGTTACTCCTCTGTAGAATTGCAGTTTCAATGTTTACGTAGAGAATGGCATCAGCTTCGTGTAGAAAGCTACTCAATTTATTTTTTATTTTTTTTGTTTTTCTTTGTTTCTTCTTCTTCTTTTCTAATACTTTATAATGGTTTTTGTCTAAAAATCAGTCAAAAACCTCTTGGTATAGTTTTTATCAAACCCTTACGATTTATATTTAAAAAAAATGTTTTTTTCTTTTTTTTTCGTTTTTCTGCTGCCGGGTTTTTTGTATGTTTCAAATTGCTTTACATATTGAGTTCTGAACGTTCTGTGTTTGTTTTTTTTTTTTTTGTTTTTCCTTGTTGTGGGGGAAGACGACATTTTATTAAAGTTTTCTATTTGGAGAGTTGATTGTTGCTGTCGTTTGTAAGCGTGGTTAAATGGTTTTTTCTTTTTTGTATTTTCAATTTTCATGGCTGAGGTTAAGGCGTTGATTATGGTGGTGACGATGATGGTGGTGCTGATGATGGTTGATTGTATATATTGGTCGTTTTGTTCGGTTGAATGGTCTCGGTGTTTTTGGTGTTTTGCAACATTACAAAACCCAATGTCACATTCGTTTTCACGTAACACACAGCACATCATAAAACGGTAATAGACGCGTTATTACACACGGAAAGAATTTTGCAAATTCCAATAATTGTGCTATTGAGAAAACTAAAAAAAAGGAGAAATAGCCTGATTCTCGTCAAGTAAAATGGCATAGAAATTTTACACAACAAGACAAAATTTATTTATTAAAATAAGAGAAAATCAAAACAAAAGACACAAAATTTTAAGTGTTTTTGAAAAACTGTAGTAAACATTTTTACGCTTTTGTGGATTTATTAAGAAAAAGAAAAGAAAATGGGAAGAAACTTGTACTACTTACGTTTTTGATGATTTTATCCACTATTCTGTATAAAAATAATAATAAGAAAAAAAAAAAAAAAAAACGAAAACAAGTGAGATTATCATAAGCAAGTTTACATACAGATCACTTTTTAAACTGTGTCCTCTCCAAAAAAAAGTGTAGACATCATAATTATAAACCGTGTTTATTAACGCAGTGCTAAGCAATGCGTAGGGCTTAAAATTTAATTAATTACTCGGTAACGGACAGTTACCTTTAGATCCAAGACCAAGTTATGCCAATTTTAAGCATTTGTCGCAGGAATTTATTTTTAGTCTTGAACGTGAAACAATTTTGCGATTTGTTGAAATTTTTTACTAGGTAAAGGTTAATGAATTCTCGAAGGGTATGAATTAAGATCAAAATTAATTCCAATTAACCGCCGAAAATCATAGAAGAAATGTTAACTGAGACAGATGTTATCTCAGACAGACCTCGTGCTGGTTTTATAATTTGAATAGCTTTTAATAGCTTCGCGGTAAACATATATAATGATTTCCATAGTTGTATCTGATCGTTTCTTATATATATATATATATATATATATATATACATACATATATATAGTTTAAGGAAAAACTGTTATTAAAATGAAATTGTTCATAAGTGCCTCCACTACGTCAACCTACATACCCTTTTAGGTCAAATTTTGGATACTTATTACCAAATTTGAATTTTTTTTTGTTAAATACAATAACAAATGATGGGAGGTATTTATCGTTCCATTTATAAAAGTGCGAAATATCCGTCCGAGAATCCATGTTACAATGTCCACGTATATATACATACATACATACATGCATACATACATACAATATATACAGTATCAAATAAGTTTTTTCGTGTAGGCTAAAGTAGGTCTCGTGAAAGCATATGTGATTTAATGTCTGTCATCTTTTTGTTTAAAAAATATGCTCAAACCCTATGTTCAATTTACTTTCATCCATGTCAGGAAAGTATACGTACATATATAGGCAAGATATGTGAGCAAGAGTTTTAAGAAAAAGTTCTCCCGATAACTAGTATATATATATACATACATGTGGTCAGCTTAAGATTACATCTATTCATCACGTCATGTCTGTCTGTCATCTGTTCTTAGAAGTCGCCAAGACAATAAGTGAACTTAAGTTTAAAAGTCTTTGCCAGAGATTCCCGAATAGGGCTAAAGTTGCCCGGCCAATATTAAAGATACATCTTAGCAATAAGTTCTCCTTATTAACTGTCAAGTTTCACTTCTTCGATTCTAAAATTTTCAACTAAATTACTAAATAGAATAATCTATGCTTTGATTATAATAACACATTTAAAAGAAAGCAATTCCTTGTGATATTGAAAAGACAATAAACTAAAAATAATTGTAAAACTTCGACAGATCACCGCATTTTTTAAATCGAATCTGGGCGATTTCATCAGGAAGAACAAGATTTAGTTTATCAAGAACGTGTAAAATGTCAAGCAAATAGCGAAGGGGCGGGGGGATTAGCGAACTAAATTAGCTCAGGCTGACTAGCACAAATTAAGAATACATGGACTGATTTTAATCTAGGTTGCGTGTATAGCCAAAGGAATTCCTCCTCTAAAGGATAGATAGGAAGCTATGAATAGAAATTATTAGATTCAATCGTCGCCACACTAAACGTCTTTAAAAAAAAAAAAAAAGAAACAATTGACATCTACTAGCGTAAGATAATAATGAAGCATTAAAAGAGTTTTTGTTTTCCTCACTCTATCTTTGAAGGGAAAATTGCTCAAAAAATACTCAAGACATTGTCACCTTACTAAAGTATCAATCCTCAATTCTAAATCAGATCATGACCCATGTTCATCAATACTTTTGTTATATTAATTTAAACTCATTGCTCTCAATTTTCATAGCTTAAGCACCAATTGTGTTATTGACACACTTACAAAAATTGAAAATAGTATAATAATCTTTAACTAAACAAAAGTCGAATCATTACCTGTTACGGATTATAGGTGCACTCTTTGATTACATTCCGCTCGCAGTTACATCAACTAAAAGCATTTAGAAGAGTCTGTGAAGGAGTCTGTATTCATCGTATTGCCATCATTTTGAACACTTTGAGAAATTTCAAAGAGGAGTAACGAGAGCCAATTGTTGTCTCTCTGAGCTTTATAACACTTATATTCGGTTGATCCTTTAAAGCAATTGAATTTTCATACGTCCAAAATCATGACTGATATGAAAGCGTAGACAAGTTTTCCTAAGTGATAGATAGCGATTTCTTGAACACGTCGTAAAATGTCAAGTTCCGCCTTAATATTTTAATTCAGAAAGAAAGAAAGGCAAACTTTACTACAATTTTCCAAAATTTTCTATACCGTATATATGTATATATATATATAGCTAAGATTGAAATATGAAGGAAAATCTCGAAATGTTCTTTAACTGATATTTTATTTTATGCTTTATCGGTAGCGGGATAGCAATAATCGATTCAAAGTATCTTTTAAAATTTGAACAATTTTTCAATATTATATTAGCCATCATTTTTCAGAATGTTATATATAACCAAATTAAATAATTGTACATCAAAATCATAAAAGTATTGTCATGTCAAGTAAATTAAGTTATTCTTCGAAAGAATTGCCTGCAAAAAGTAAAGATATTTTGCATGCAAACCAAACAAATATCTCATATAATATTATTAAAATCCAACTACACACACACACAAATGTTTTTCTTATGAAAAAAAAAAAACGAAAAAGAAATTCATGTTATAAGAAATCAATAAATTTTGAGACTGAAAAGTATTGAAATTCACCATTTATTGCTCAGTTTTTACTGCGCATACGCAAGAAAGCCGACGGTACAAAAAAAATGGCAGTAATTGTAATGTGTTTCGTGCACATTCATACATACATAGATATGTATATATATGTATATAGATTTGTATTATGGTTGAGAACAGTTTGAATGGAAATTTTAAGAGATTTAACTGAGACGGCGCCTAACTCTAATTAGGAAAAAAAGAAAAATATATTTATTTTTTTTCAATGCTTCCATATTGAAAGTGGTCGTAATCGTAACAGAAATATAGCATAGAAAGTATAGTTTTATCGTTCGCCGCGCGTATAAATTCTTGATCAACGAAAAGCTTTTATAACATTCAGTATTTGTTCTACTTTTTTTTTGACCTTCGTAAGTGAAAATGAAGATGATTGTAGCGAACCTCGACATATATTTACGTCATAGTGTTAATGTTTACAAATTAAATTGAAACGTAACGCAGATTCCGTCCCTAGACATTTGTTCTCATAATCATTGCTAAGGGATTTCTTATACATACGAATAAGTATATAGAGATCGGGCAAAAACTATATATTCTTGCACATTTTCAAACAATCAAAGCTCTGGAGAGATTTTCAATTTTCTCAAGTCAAGCTCTTCAGTTAATCGGCATTAATCGATGTCCTAAAGTAATTAAAACAAGGGATCGGGAGCACATTTTTTTTAAGTTGAACAGTCATTCACAGAATGCTGTCAAATCGAACCAAATATGGCTTCGAGCGTACACGATAGACGAAGAAGATGACACGGTGAGCGTTTGATATATTAAGTGGATCGATCCCCGCTGTATCTTTCAATCGATTACCTTACACAAGGCAGTGCCGATCACAAATCTAAGTAACCACACACTAGCGAGTCGATCTTCGCTTTACGTCTAGCGCTATAAACTATCCACAATACACAAGTTAATAATGGTTGCAAGTAAATTTTTACCAGTATATGGCCGGGTTACTACTCCATACCTAGAATATTGAAATGAACGCAAAGATGAGAAAGTTTTGAAATTTAAAAAAATTTCAGAAATATTTCGAAATTGTGTCAATTACAAATTGAATTTAGTTACTTCATACGTTTATCTCACTTGGATAACTTTTGACACATCCGTAATTAATAGAAAAATCGCCTTGATGACGTCAGAAGCTAAAATTTTCTTTAAGCCGACTATAAACTTCTTTCCATAACTGGACTATATATGCGCTTCTTTGGTAACAACTATACAATTTTGGCGCACGTATGTGTTTGTTAAGCAAATTAGCGTAAGATTGATATTTAAGTTGCTTTGCCTTCCTTCTTGGTCTTCACGCTAATTCTCATTACAGAAAAACTGTACTATTAGAGTCAGGAAACTTGTAAAAATACTCAAAAATTATAGTAGTTCGGAAGCCTAAGATGGCGATATGAAGCTACGAGAGAGATATAAACCTTCTTTCCTTATTCTCTTTAAATATCTGACGACATTGCATGTTTTCAATAAAATTATAAGAATTATGCTTAAGAAAGAAGGGGAAAAAAAAAGAAAGTGACTTGTTGTCGCCCACCATCAATAACATCTCGCTTGTTTCGTTTTTTTTTTTTTTATTCAAGAGCATATTATACGTATATATATATAATTATAAAGTCAAAGTTTATTTGATTTAAAATAATTTCTATTGTTATTATTATCGCTTTTACATAAACACAAATCACTATTACGCAAGATATATATATATATATACCTGGTTAAATATAAAAATATTTACACATTTTTATATATAAAATGTGGTAAATGTTTACACATAATTTAATAGACTCTTATTGTTTAACTTATTTCCTAAGAAAGAATTTAGAGAATCTTCTATTTATTCTATATATGTTTGTATGTGTGTGTATAAACTATCATATATGTATTCGCCATGTTTGCAACTATTTATACATACATAATATGTATTTAAACATACCTATGTACGTATTTAGTTACATCATTTTTCATTTTTTTTTTTTTTATTTTAAACATAACGTCGTACGCATATTTATGTATTTATGTATGTAGATATGTTTATTTTAAAATGTAGATGTGAAAATGTATGTATTACTTCTTAAAAGTCATTGACAAACATTAATACATTTTATTAGAACACGTAATAAAACTTTATTTCAACATACATGTACATGTGCATACATACATACATACATACATACATAGGCCTCATGCTAATATAAATCCATTAAAAAGTTTTGGCGAAACGAAATGTTTGAGCAAGAAGATAAGAAACGCTTTAGCGCATATTAATAAATATTAGTTGTAAATATATTTTAACAAATTACGAAATTTATTTATATATGTATATAGATATATATATTTAATGTTAATGTGTCTGCTTTCTATCTGCATTTCTCGTGCTTAGCAAATTTTCATAATTACAGCGATGAGTTAACGCAAATTGATTATCACACGATCATTCATTATGGGCAATGTATGTATGATTGTTCGTAAAAAAATTTTTAATCTCGAGAAACTTTTAAAATGTTTCTTCGTTCGCGATGAGTGAGCCCCAGTCGATGAAACGAATCGTTGTCGTATACGCCTGCAGACAAGGTCTTCCGAAAAAGTGAGTTTTATTCCGCGTTATTTCTTTCCCTCTCAACAAAGGCATAAATGCGACCAACAGTATTGCTTGCGAAAATCTTCAGCTTCGGGAGGCTTTATGGCATCTCGTGACATCTCGAAGATCATAACATCATAATCCAGGGAAAAAACTAACTGTAAGCAAAAGTTCCTTGTTTGATGGCCGTACAAATGATCTGATGCGAGGAAATTTTCCCAAATGAATTTTTACCTGCAAATATGTACATAAATGTAACGAGCTTCCATGATTGAAGCGACAGAGACTTGAATCGTTTAAGTACAGTTTGGAGTTCGGAGGAATGCGAGGAACACCACCCATAAGTAACTGCTTCAGCCAAACATTACAATAGATCCGCAACTGTATTGCCGTAAAGCAAGGCAGACTTAGGAGGCAGAGTGCCTCCGTGCTTACATCGTTAATGATCTTTCAGGCATTGGGATAACTTATCCAAAAACTATTGCTCCTTTCAACGTAAAAATAGAACTTGACATCGTCGTCGTACTATTTTCTTCGATTTTTCAAAAATTTCCTGAAAATTTCCATCCAATGAATATAAAAAGAATTTTTTTGAAGCTATACCAGCTAGAATTTCTGAAACAGCAACTGTACAAGGAGTTTTGGAGGGGGTCAGGAAAATCATCCAAAGTTATCGAACAATAACGTGCGCAGTTTTAATGACAACACATATACCTTCAACACATTTAGTATTTTTCAGACAATCTATTATGTAATCAGGTAAAAATCGCCGTTGCGTTGGAAATACTTAAACACTATTTCATAAATTGTGGGCGTGTTATTTGATGGCAGACAGACCGACAACACTAATGAGCATGGAACACGATCGAACGGATAGATGCCTCGACGACAGACCAACGAAAAAGACGAATCGACCTTACCAGTGATGTACTTGAATGAAGAAGTCTTTGACTGCGCGCTTCTAGGTGCTTAAACTGAAAGAACGAATGCATGACCTTACATAAAATTGAATGGTAAATCTTAACATAAACAGGAGATTTGAATGGCTTGTCTTGTGCAAGGTGGATTTGCCGAGATGAGAAGAAAACATTGACTGAATTGCCCCAATATGCAATGGATACATCCTTGACGGCGCTGGACGACGCAAATGAAATTGAACTTTACTTCCAGTACACCATTGACCTTAAATTAGCTCTAATTCACACATGCTCCTCACCAATATAATGCTAGGCTTTTGACATTTAACACTGTATAGTCCAACTCCTGCCAATTATTAATACTTTCTGATTTTCATCCTTGAAAAGGCGAAAATAATTTTTTTTGCTGAAATTCTAATAGATTTTTATTATTCATTTATTGTTTGAGTTTCTACCTGTTACAAAACAAATATCTATCTATATCGATTGTCCTTCGCATATACTTGTTATGTCTGCCATACATACATAATAATAGTAATTATTGGTCTACCCATTCGCTAATACTCATAAATAGAAAAACCGCACATAAACTCGTGAAAATATTTTCATTGAAAGAATGTAGAAAGAAAGAAAAAAAGAAAAAACATTGAATCGCCGCTTACGAAAATAATAAAATATCTTTTGTTTTTATGACCGCATAGCGCGCGTGCATAAACTAATGCAATATTGCATCTCAAAACGGCCACAATGATTACTGTAATTTTAGCAGAGCAGGCAGAGCAGGCAGAGCAGGTAGAACAAAAAAAAAAAAGAAAAAAACATTGCGTTGTCGTTGAAAGGAAAAATGGCGGTAAAAGCGTATTTCCCTATTGTCAGACATATGCGCATTTCTTCTTATACAATATTTGCTTAGGTTAGTTAGGTTCACAGCCGTCAATGAAAGAAACAAATGTGATATTTTTTATTACAAATGTATTTATTTGTATTTCACATCTTGTTTAGGCTGCGTTATATTCGTGATACGATAAACGCATTTAAGGAAACCCCGAAAAAAACGTCTCCTCTTTTTGCCTCGCACTTCTTATATCATTCTTTAATGTATTGCTTAAGCGATATGCTTATCTTTGAAATTTTTATTTATTTTATATTTAATATTTTCTTCTTCTCTATTATTATACGTATTTATTTAGGTCCGTTCTATGGTGCGAAATTTTTTTAATTAAATTTATTAATGAATTGTGATTTTTTTAGATTTAAATTAATTAAGAAGCTCTGAGTAAAGCAAAAGTCAAAATGACTCATATCTTAATCTTATTATTACTTTTAACGCATTCTTACTTCTTCCTTTTCAAAGCTCTTCGCTATAATTACTAAATTTTTTTTTTTATTTTAACATAAGATAAGAATCCTTTTGTGCACCTTATTGTTTTAACGGCTGACTTACTATCCCATCTTACTTACTTGGTATTATCTTTTTGTCGATTGTTTATCAGAGGTTTCATTTTTTTTTTTATTTTTCATTTCTTTTTCTCATCTCATCGTTATTTATTATCAGTCAGTTAGTTACAACATTTTCTGGGAGATATCATTTTTGTTTTGAATTTTTTTGTCTTCTTTTTTTTTTTTTTTGTTTTGTTTTCTCCTGCTAATCTTACCTGCAAAAGACCAGTCGTACGTATAATATAGTATACTGTGTACATGATTTGCTTACCGCAACTTTTTTAACATCTTTTTAGTAAAGTATTATCTTCAAGAGCGTCCTATGTTTTCATGTGGTTATCATTAAGTCAATATAAGATATGGTATTATATGATTGCCCGGATGGTCTCTCGCTCTCTCTCTCTCTCTCTCTCTCTCTCTCTCTCTCTCTCTCTCTCTCTCTGGCTGAGATCTTTACACATTTCCATTTGTTTTTTTTAAGAATGTGTTGATTATGTGCAATTAATTTAATACAGTTTTATGTGTCTTTTAAAAGTTAATAAGAGAAAATATATATATATAAATTCTTATTTCAACAAATTAAAACATTTTGTTTTATTTCTTTCCTTCAACTAACTAAATATCTCAAATTAAATGGCATTAGGGTGAAAAGTTTGACTACAAAGTTCTTTAGTGTAAAGCGGTCAAGTAAATGCTGACAAAACAGCGTAATGTGGTCAAGTCAAGTAGACTGAAAAATCCTAGATTAGGTATAACATATTTTGCCGATCCATTACGCTTCTTAAATATCATTGGTATGTCCTGGTGTCATAACTTTATGAAATATAATGGTATTTTGATCGGCCGAGACAAGACGGCGATGGTAGTTTTTCATATTCCGAAGAAATTTATGCGTAACCGGTCTTTTTCTCCAACAATTCTGATATTAAATAGATATCAAAATGGCGCCCAGTAAAATGCAATAAACCGCGTTAAAAAAATCTTGCGAGATATTGAAAAGGATGCCGGAGTTACCTATAAACGGCTTGACCTAAAGATCTCGCGAATATTTTGAAAAATTCAATTTGCAAAGCAAATTAACTTTGAAGCGAATAGTTTCCGAGAAAAGGTTTTTCAAAGGCACAATTAATCTGACGGGCACGTCTTCGTCAATTTCTCTTTATCTAGAAATTTCTACTTCTCTAGATTACTCAGATATCCAATCCATTATTCTGACTAACATGTTTAATGCTAATGGATACAATCCCATCTTGCCTTTTGAAGGGAAATTTTTAGAAACGATCACATTTCGACTGACTAATTCAATGATCATGGATTCAAATCTCTCAAGTGCAGTAGAGTTTTCAGTCGGTAGCGTTAAATGCTGCTAATGCTTCCAGGCTTAAATCTTAGAAATTACTTTTCTCGCTTAATTAATAGTAATAATAATAATAAACAATATTAAAAAATCTTCGCAAGCCGAGAATTCCATGAATCTGGCAATCGATCACATCTTGTAAGTGCTACAGATATTTTCAATTCGCTATAAATTAATTTCCGACTAATTCTCTAACTAAATAAAATTTAAGAAAATGACTTGCAGTTCAATCAACTAAATGATGAAATAATATCTAATTTTTTTTGGGCTCAGTTTTGGGCTGAGTGTTCAGATCGGGGCTGTTCAAAAAGCGCAACATTTTAATTTCCACAGATTTCCTATTTTCTTCAACCTAACGATTTAAGGTGTGAATCGATGCTAGTCGTCCCCCCTAAGCCATCGAATAATTTTAATATCTCAAACTTTCAAGATAGCTATTCTGTGACTCTATTAACTCTAGTCGTGGAGTATATCGTCGTACAAGCTGCATTACGGTTTTAATTGAACTATTAACTCTTATTAATTAGATTAACCAACAAATCCAACTTTGCTAATCTGTCTCCTTGCCGGCGTGTTTGTCTATAGGGATTTTTTGCTTAATCCTTAGAATTTGTCTACAAAAAATAAAGTTTGATCTGAAGTTAGTCTGGATTCTTTTGCTGTTAAATGGCATTAAATAGGATTCTCCCAAGTAACTTGCAAACTAAACACATTTGTTTTTGGCGTCGTTACGTAAATTATGGAGTTCTTACCAAGCGTTATGTTAATTGTTATTCGTACTTGTTATGCATGCATTACACTATTTTAAAACTGTAAATAAGCGAAGTTTGTGTGTGTGTGTGTGTTGGGTTGCAATTGCACATTGCCTTTAGAGTCACGCACATAGCTTGTCAAGATATAATCAAATATGTATGTATTATAAGAAAGAGACGAAGAAGTAATAGAAGAAGAATGAGAAGAAACGAAAAAGAAGAAGAAAAAGATGAAGAATTGGTAAGAGTTAAGTGATTTGGTCTAAACTATTAAATTTGTTTAAACTTAATTAAAAATTTTCACATTTCCATTATCGTCATTATCTTCACTCTTTACAATTACTTTACTATAAACGCGGTTTCAGCAAATCGAAATTCATTTATTCCAGTCACAATATTTAACATTGCCAGTAGCATGTAGGAGATAAAAAACAAAAAAAAAATTCATATGCATGACTTCACATGATTTAACATCAACTCGTTAATTAAGTGAAGGGTTCTTTATAATTTCTTTTCTTTCATATATATATATATATATACAAATATTTTTTTTTTTCGAATAAATTCCTTGGTAAAGTCATTGTGTGGGAAGTTTTAAATAATATTCGAAGAATTGGGTAAAATAATATAAAGGTTTTTTTCTTCTGTTTTTTTTTTTTTTTTTTAAATCGTAAATTAATTAAACCTATATGAAAATGGCGCCAATATATATTACCGTTAATTTGACAGCGTAAGTGATTTTATCTATTTATTCTATCACGACAACAAAATTGACAATTTGTTAACAATAAAGTAAGGACTGACTAATGATATCAATCATATTTGTTAATATTAACAATATCTCAATGAAATTAATGTATATAAGCTACCGTTTCAAACGCTGCACTGATACTGTTGATATTGTTGATAATATTGATAAATAGATAGATATACGAACAAATAAAATTTTGGTAATTGTTTTTTTTTTTTTTCGATAAAAATGATTAGTTCAAGTAAAATGTAATCAAACAGTTAGAACGGAAGTTTTAGGTGAATTGAAAAGTTGCTGGAATTGTAACATTGTAAACAGACAACGAGCTATGTGTTCTCCTAGACAGTAAAGTTTCATGCTTCTTATTAACAGCTACATACAAGTGATTTCTTTCAAGAAATGATTTCGCGACACCGCTTTCACCGTCAAAGGATTTCTTAGAATGAAATTTCTTTTAGCGTTTAGAAGACTTGGATAAACCATAAATTATGTGGTTGCTTGATCTAGATATGGTTTTGATTCAATTTAATTATGCCCCCCTCTGTCTGATGATCTTTTGCTGTATTATTTGCGGTCGAAAAAGTTTTTTTTTGGAAAGACTAAGTCAGCCTAAGACCCTGAATAGGGCTTGCGAGCAGGCTTAAAGTTCAGTAGACGTGATCGCCGTAACAAAAATAAAATTTTCCGCACTTGCTTAATTTAAAAAAAATGTTAAAAATCATGAACAATTATTTAGTAATTTGTAATAAAATATAATTAAATTAGTTGATTAATTAATTATATATGGTTGCTCGTAAGTCAATACAATTATCAATACATTATAAATTTTAATTAATTAATTAATTATTATTAATTAATATTATTAATTAATTAATATTAATTATAATTAATTATTGTTGATTATTAATTATTAATTAATTAAATTAATAATAACATAATGAACTGATACTACTATATTGATAAGTACTCCTTTTGTGTAAGCTGTGGCCTGCAAGCAATAACAGGTTGAATCTTAAATGCGGTCACAACATAACCCTTTGAAGGGTGGTTATCGTTTTAGTTTTTCAATAAACTCAATTATTGCTATGGCTGGCAAACAATTTACTTTCACTTGTTAAAGTCTTAACTGAATAAATATTTCATATTAAAAAAAAAGAGCGCTAAAGCTGAATATGTCATAGATGGACGGCGCATATTTGAAAGTTTGAAAAAAAAATGAATGCAAATAAATCGATCTCATGAACTTCCAACTTTGTCTTACATACTTCTTATAGCCTCAACATGGAGGCTTACCTATGGAGTCATAATGCATACTGGAATAATAAGGCCAAACAGAGCAAAATTTTCAAAATGAAAATTTGCGTTTTAACAGAAGCCATTAGTTAAATAGCCTAAAATCGATAAAACGATTAGCAAAAAGTCATATTTTTCAAGGCTTTCGGAAAAATTTGTTCTTTCAGTCGAGAAATTAAGAAAATCATGCT